CGTACACAACAAAATGGCCTTTGGGTACATCACCAGGAAGGCTGCTTTCATCATAACCCTGTTTCTTGCCAAAACTTGAGCACCTTTTCAGAATCTGTTTGATAGCTGCTGTTTGTCGTAGCTTGTTTGATTTCTTGATAGCCATCTTGTTAGAATTAAGATTACTTGGTGGTGGGGGAAGAAGCAAGGAGGCTAAAACGGAGAGAATTGGTATGAGGGTGGTGGGGAAGGATTAAGGTATGTAGAGGTATTTATATGGGGGGGAAGCGTGGGAAGAGAGATTTATGTGTTGAACAAAGTCATGTGCTATGTGGAAGAAATGAACAGACCAAGGATGAATTGGAGGTAACTGTATGTAAAGGCATGCAGGTTCCAATCCCAATGGGGCTTAGCCTACCCTGTTGTCTCTCCTAAGGACAACATGGGTCCATTTTTTCTCTGGTTTTCCTTCTCAAGTTTTCCTGCATTTGTCTCTTCTGATACATACCTTGTTCTAAGGCTGAGAAAATTCATTATTATCTATATTCCAGTTTCCATAGTACACAATGTGTCAATTTCTCTCTCTCTCTCTCTGAAAAGTTAATAATAATAATAAAAAAACGTCCCTTTCCCTCTCTTTGACATGATTCAGGAAGTTCCAACTTCTAAACTTGACCATTGGCTTAAATGTTGAGGTATAAAATAACCAAAACAGAAAGAAATAGTATTAAACATACTTTTTTAATTTTATATAATTTTTTTTAAAAAAATTTCTTTGTTATCAATCAAATCTGAAATAGATAACCTGTTTAATTTCTAAATTAAAATATGATATGTCATATTTCTAAAAATCATACATTTGAGATTTTCTTTAAATTATTCATAAAATTTGAACTTAAAATCACTGAGGTTGAAATTAACGACCAATTATGCCAACTTCTTACAAAATTCAAAGATTTGATGCTCTCAGCTGGCATCAGTTTTGTCTTTGTGATATGGAGAATAACGGTACCTGTGTATCTTGGAAGTGACAACCATGAGATCTACTGAGTCCTGTCAAGCAAACCGTGCATGGCATTCTATTCCATCTCAAATGGAAAGACCCCAGACATAAAAGGCACTACATTTGTTACATAAATTTTACAACATACTAGTACTTTAGAGGATTTACCATAGCCCATGGCTAGGTCTCAACTTGGTAGAAAAGGAACTGAACGGTCTGCTGGTTTCATTGGAACCTTTACAGGACCACCGGAGACCTGTGTACTGATCCAATCATGATGCCTCATGGTACAATGTAAATAAACATAAGATGAGGATTGTTACAGGGACTATAGGCCATAAAGGACATTGAATGCTTGTCCCAAAGTCACGGAATGTCCAAAATTTGGTCCTTTCCTTTATATACTAGTCGTTGATATTCGGAGTTCGTCAAACTCAAGGAACAGATTTCCGGTAGTTTTAAGGACCATAATACAAATCAAAGCGACCAGTTTTTCTTTTGTCCCACTCAACACAGAATTTTGGCCCTGTTCAGCGTTGTGGCGTGGCTGGGCTAAATTTGCGCTGCCTGGTGACCCCCTCTTTTGTTGCTGGGAAAGCTTCCATCAACAACAACAAGGCTCCTGCCCCACGTAATCACAGTGTCATCGAAAGGGAAGCATGGCAATTCTCTCCTCCTAATTCCCCCCTTCTTCCATCCGGCCCTACATTTCACCAACTCAAAGAGCAAAAGAAACATCACCCCTAGGTCTTATTATCCATTATCAACAAAGTTGCAAGCTGTCTCGCAAGTAAACAGACTCTGATTGCATCGACCAGCACTTAAATCTTCTGGCTTGCCAGGTTAAGGCCTAAAGGGTATGATCTGAAGCATATGGGGCACGAACCTACTGCTGTGGAGTTCATGTAGAATTCTCAAAAACACTTACGGGACTGCCCATGTGCTTCTGCCAGAAACATGAAAATTCTCAAAACCCTCAATAATCAAGGTACAGGATAGACTGGGAAATGCTTACAGCCTTTCATTCAGCTAACGTACGACATGTTTCCCATGTTTCAAGGGCCAAAAGCCTGCTTTAGAGCCTACCCTGCCAGCTTGCTTTATACACCTCTTTCAGAAGACAGCAAACGGACGTAATCTTGCATGCAAAATCCCAGAACAAATTTTGGCTCATAGCAAACTTTAGGGTTCTTTTTAAAAATGCTCTTGATAAGTGTTTTTAAAAATAATATTTTTTATAATTTAATTATTTTAATTAAAAATATTAATTTTAAATAAAATTACATTTAATAAAATTCACATTCACGTCTCAAATCAACTTACATTTTTTTACTTTTTCTCATCCAACCATTCATCTAGAGTATTTTTTATTAAAAGGAAAAACTTTTAAACATTTTGAAATGATTTTTGATATACGAAAAAAAATTTTCGAGCGCTTGGAGCATTTTAAGTATTTTGAAGTAGCTTTTGGTTCATGAAAAAAAATCTTTAAACATTTTGAGCATAATTTCTCAAGTAGGCATATTCGTTGATTATATTGTTAAATGAAATATGATGCGTTGTTTGAAGTTATTGATTTTGTTAAATGAAATTCAGTAATTTTGATGCTTTTTAAGTATTGTGTAACTAGTTTTTAAGTATTACATGATTAGCTTTTAAACATTACGTGATTAGACTAGTTTTTTTGTACTATGTAACTTAGTTATTGCTTAAAAATCAATCACGCAATATCTACAATCTAATCACATAATAACTACAAACTAAAGACGTAACGATTAAATCACGCAATATGTAAAAACTAGCCACACAATACCTTAAAAACTAGTGATATAATATCTAAAATCAATAATGCAATACTTAATAATTAATTGATTTGCTTGCTTATAGTTAGGTTTAAGTTGTCCAAGTTATACAGTGTTCTGATTTATAGATATGTCTAATCAATTTTAATCTCTCAATTTTAAAGTTTTATGAATATATATAAACTAATAAACTTAAGAATTTAAAATATATAACTTGATATCATCTCTGTTCTTGGAGATGTCGAGAAAGAACTAAATAATGAGACAGAGTGTATTTGGTAAGAGAGAAATCGAGATTTAATGTTGAAGTTTTTATCTGAATGGTGAGATAAAAAAATTAAAATTATTTTAATTTTATTTGAAATTGTTTAAAATGTATTGTTATCAAATCATGTTAAAAATTAATTAAAAATAATTAAAATTATAATAAATAATATTTTTAAAATAAACTCATAACTTTATTACTTCTTTTGAGTGATATGACCTTAGCTGAAGGGGAATTTAGAATTGGGATGGGCGCCGTGAGTGACATAGATAGGCTATGCCATCGTTTTCGCTAAGGTAAAAGTCATCTTTTGATAGCTAATACCTCACTGGCTGCGAGGCCCCTGGTTGTGGCCTATGGCTACCTGATCAAAAACAGGATGCAAGCATTTCTTTTTCCTGAATCAGTAATACGGCGATTGGCGACCACATCCAATGATGTGCATGTGAAGGCCATGTTACTTTTGTCGTGAAAATGCCTTAACAAGAACAAAAAAATGGTTAGCAGAACTACGTAATGCCGCTCAACATCGCAAGTGCTAGTGACATCCTTCGGCATTGCCAACCTACTCTACTCAAACCTTCTCTCCTACCTGCATTTCTATGGCTTGCTCATTTTTCTCTCTGCTCCAATAGATATTTCCTCTAACAAATCTCTGGCAAAATTCATTCCTTAAGTTAAGTCAACCATGTATGTAGTCTATCGATGTTAATGAAATAGACATATTCTATCTCACTCAATGTTCTGTTCTTGATCTCATAATTTGAGGTCACACGTCCAAATACTTGATATAAAATATAAATTAAAAAAAAAGACACTAATTAAGCAACGGATCAAATAAGAGCAAAAGGATTTTCTATTTGTGTTAAAGAGGGAGTCAGTAACTATCAGATGGAGGCTTGATGATACTTTCAACTAGGACAGATAGAGTTTAACGCCGGATATATCTATATCACACCATCTTCCCTGTACTATGATGATAAAACAAATGGGAAGTTGACTGTATGATCGGATGAGGATTTTGTTTAGTTCTTTCTTTTGGTTCCTTGGGAAGGAATTAGGATAGAATCAATTGGGGTGTGGGGACATTAACCTTATGATACCTAATGGAGCAATAATGTATATCATGACTCAAAAGCTCAATCATTGAGTGCTAAACTCGAATGAACAAAGGTCAATTGATTATAATCTAGTTGTTTTCATCTTCTTTTCCTATATATTGGTTAAGTCAGACCACACCTTAAAGATGTCTTCATTGATAGAAATCAATAGGCTCGCATATATCTGGCATGCAGACGAGGACAAACAGATGCAATCGAACTGGAACACACACAAAATGCTTAGTTTTGAAGCCCCGCATGGAAGGCAGAGGTGGCCCATCAAGCTCCATTCACAAGTCCTGAAGCACAACTTCCAGCAAACTGAAAGTAAACGTGCTGCACAGCAGGAAAGTGCACGCCAAAGCCCAAAAACCATAAAGTCACGTCCAGGCTACAACACACAAACTGTTGCTCCTGACCTCATATCCTACTTCTGACAAGTTACCCCAAGTCCTTTTTTAACTCCTACACTCTCGTCCATCCAAAATCAAGTCCATTTTTACAGGAGAGCATCATGCTGTAACTGTAACCTGAAACATCGTAAGCAATACTCGTAACTTCCATACTCTTGAACCATTTCTCTTCAAGAAAGCTTTTAGTTCCCACTTAAATAAAGCTTACTTCCATCATCACCATTTTACATTCTATGAACACGAAAAAAATTCTGGAAATAGTAAAAAACTTCCGATTTTTTTTCAAGATGGTAATTTCCATGGGCTACATGAGTCATCGTAGATGACAAATAACAATAACAATAGGATTCCTAGGACCACCAGCAAAATATGTAATCAAGCATAAAAATACCTAAGTAGAACATGTGCCACAAGCCCACAACAATTAAGGAAAATTTCTTCAATAAAATAGAAAGCTGCACATATATTCTCTTTCATTTTTCAGGTTGACACAATCATCAATAGTTGTTTAAATACTTAGCTACAATCAGTGCTCTTAAGGAGCAGAACTTACAACTAAATCTATAAAGAAGGTTGCTACAATTGATATCCACATCTTTACATCTTCTGTCACAGTTCACTTTGTCTTCCCCAATATAAACTCGACTAGTGAACTCCAACAATAACCTCATCATGATCATGTACATTCATAAGAGGAGGCCGGTTTCAATGGTTGAGGCATCCCATCAATCACACTCAACTGTCTTCTCAGCTTAACAATATGGGCTTGCACCTATCAAGCAGTATAAATTGTCAAAAGATATTGTCCCACAAGCTCATGAAAGATAAAAGAGTGTTTACATCAAATAACTAAATCAGACATGCATAATGGAACATAAAAGCCCAAAGTCAGGCCAAAAGCTTAAGGAGTAGACCCACATTCACAGCCAAGATAGCAGGTTACCAAGCATGACTCAACAATTTGTAGAAAAATATCAGAGTACTGATAAAATATCTACAAAACAGGTGGGTGACAACACTATGGATTAAAAGATACTTCAACTTGTACGTTTTGCTAGACTTTTCTGCATGAGCATATGGCATGCCTATTCATAACTAGCAGTATAATTGCAAGTACAAACACCTTCAGAGGCTCAACCAAGTAAATTGCCAAAATGAAAAGCAACTGAGCAATACTAACCTGCTGACGAGCTGCTGCAAGTTTCAAAAGTTCATCTGCCTCTGAGAAATTCATGAACCACTGACTGAGTGGGTGATCTTTGGTATCGCCTCTTCCCCTTTCATTCATATTTTCAAATGGCACTGCAAAACAAGCAACTGATCCTCACAGAAATTTTAATGAAAAAGATTCCAGTAAAAAGGGCAAAAGAAGTCAATTTACCTGCAGCAGGCAAGCTAAACCCAGCAGGCAGCCGCGGCACAAGAACAGCTGGATGATTTTGCACACGAGAAAAGAAGCACTCAGAAGGATCTGGAAAAACAATCTCGTTGTATGCTTCCACAACAACAGGTTTCTTGGTCGACTGCGGCCCAGATTCATCTTCAGGATACAATTTCAGATGGTGGTACCTGCAAATATTGAAGCGTAGTTAGTAAACAAAGCTCCTCATCCAGTGAAGCGAGTCAGAAACCAAATAATCAACTCACAAATCCAACTGCTTGTCACAAACGTCACTGTGGAAGAAAAGGCTAATTCCAATTTCAAATTCACCCCAACCGCACTCTGATAACTCAAAAGGTGGCGATTCAACAAGTCTTGTAGGGTTATTGAAACTGGGATGCAGTTGAAACACAACATGCTTTACCACTACTCCGAGATCTTCATTTGTTGCCCCACGCACATAAACAGTCCACTTATGGGACTGCGACCTAATGGAAGTAGATAAATCTAGTTAACATTATTCTTCCATGAGGCAAGAAAAGAAAATTTGTATCATGGAAAAACATACTCACTCACTAGCCTTTCGACCAAGATAAAAAGCAATAGTTCCACATACCATGGGAACACAAATTTCAATATCTTTAAGTCTCCTGTTTGCACTCTACAAATTATTATGTACAAAACAAATAATGTCATCATAATGGAGGTAGAGTTCAACAAAAATGGAAAAATCTGTCTAAGCATAAACAAACAAAGTTCCAGTTCAACATTTCCAAGCTCTTGTCTTGAAATGTCAAAGCAAAATCAAACTCCATAATTTTGCTTTAGCTGTAATTAGGAATAGAAAAGTTCAGCTCTTAGGGACTTAAAAACCCCATAAAAATAATGATCTCAAAAGCGTTCAAGAACTACTACTACTTCCCCAATTACTATGCAAAAGGTACAGTCTTTTAAAAAACTGTAAAAAACCCAGAAATTTTGGAACTCTGTCTTAGTAGGATATGCAGGTAAAAGCCGCCAAAAATAATTGAAGAAGCCGAAAAGAGGACCTTTTTATCGCTATCATCAGGGGTTTTGCCGAGTTTGATGATGCGCTGTGGCTTCGAAGCAGACCCGCCATCTTCAGCTGGGGTTTCCGTAGCTGTGTGAGGCATTTCAGCAGACAGTCGAGGTGGGCTCAAAGCGAATGAAGAGTTTAAATTCGGGTATCAGATTTGGGGATTTGTTCGATCAATTTTGAGTAGGAAATTGGGGCTTTAGATTGTTTGACGGGGAAAAATGGAAGAAATTCTGGGCCTTTTCTTTTTGTTATGCTTGCCATGTCAGCTGCCATCTTGGAAGATGTGCCGTACCTTGGAGTCGTCAAAATATCAACATCCTCATTCCTCCTCCCACTGTTCCCCCCGCAAAACTGTTGGACACGTGTTGAAGGGTTGATGGATTATGAGAGTATTGATCAATGTTTCCAGGATTATACAGCATGTCCTACATAAGTTGAAACGTCAACAATGGCATAGCGATTGCACTGTTGTTAACAAGTAGGAAAACAAGTTGACATGTCAACAAAGGCATAGCGATAGCATACAATCCATATTACTCGACTAAGAACATGAGCTTGGAAACAAAGAATACCCATCATGAATCTTGTCATGGTAAAATAGCTTTGCATGTAATCCAAGTTGTTCCTTCTTTCTTTCCTTTCCTTTCCTTTACATGGGTAATCCAAGTCATCCAGCCTAAAAGGCATAAAAAACAGTTTGAATCTTGAAAACAAATTTTCACTGTGTTTCTATATGATAAAGGGTATTATGATTTTAAGTTTAAAAATGAAGGTAGTTAGTGGTTAGGGGAGGATGTTTGACAAAAACACAATGAGATTCCACCACTTACAAGAACGATGGACATTTTCAACTTCATTAATACACCAAATTCGTGTTCCAATAGCACAACAATATGCATTCACACTTTATGGTCCAATTTTCAAAAGCACAACAATGGCACTAATTCAAGTTCACTGCTCTCTTCATAATGTTACACTTTCCAGAAAGTATCCGTCGTCACAAACTTCCCTCTGCAGGCATTGCTTGTCCCACCTTACAGTTCTCCCGTCTGGTCATCGTGTCTGCTAGGAACAAAGCAACCAGGTGCCACAGGCCAACAGGCAGTAGAACAAGATAGCTAATCAGATCAGATCATATATTTGAAGCACTTAGGGCCATTACTTTACATTGTTCATTCATGGCCAAAAGCTGAGCTTCTTTCTTGTCAAGAAGGGCAGTCAACCTCACGTTCTCTTCCATAAGCTTCTGAACTTCAGCCTCTTTCTGCATTTTCTCACCCTCTAGCTGTGTTGTCTTTGCAACTAGCCTGATTCACAATAAAATGAAGACAGACTCATGTATAAGATTTCCAACTAAACCAGATGTTGTGCACTAGAAGGATATGCAAAACTAGTGTTGAATACCACCACTCCCCAGCCCATCCACCCATCCGCTCAAATGTAAAATGCAGTTTTGTATGTAGTAAAATAGCTGCTGCTATCATGCACTACAAATCAAGTTCACGCTTAAACCAACATAAGCCCTAATATTGCATACTATCCAAAAAAAAGGGACTCCCCAAATTGGGTTCCTGTGTAGAATAAAGCAGAGTAAGAAATACAAACCTACCTTCATGCAAACACCTTGTTGATGGTTGAAAGAACTGGAAGTCCATGTTATTATTTGCCAACAAGTATAATAATAAATAAATTACCAACAAGTGCCATATTAATACAATTTGCATGGTCTGATAGAACATATCCAAAAAAAAACAGTTCAAACTATTTGCTGGCTCATGCTATACACTTCAGAGAAAGGAACAAACATCCAAGAATCAAGAACAAGTGTAGTCAAGGAAATCAAAGAATCCAAAGATCATACTGACCGTTCAAAGAGCCTCTCAATGGTTTGAAACTGCTTCTCCGATGAAAGAAGAGTTTCTCTTACACTAATAAGACTGCTAACATAAGATTTCAGGGACTCAAAATCCCGCTTCACACGAGAAAGCTCCTGTTCATTCTCAGCAGCTCGTAGCCTCTGTCTAGAAGTTTCTTCAACCAAGTCCTCAACCCTCTGCCTCATTTCATTAAGAATGCTGTTTGTACCCAGAGCAAACCTTTCCATCTCTTCTAACTTTAAAGACATATTCTCAATTTGGACTGCCTTCTTTTGAATTTCTTCCTGACCTAAAGTTACCTTTTCTTTCTCAATAGCAGTTTCAGATTCAGCCATGATAACCCTTTTAACAAGTACTTCCATTACATCCGTGACCATTTGCACAGACTGGATTAATTCGCCAATATAGGCTCCATCTTGTTCATCCAAAGAACCTTGTTGTCTACTAAGTCCAATCCATGCTTCTTCATCCAGACAATCAAATGAAGAGAGATCAACATTCCTTGACCAACCAGACAATGGTGTACCTTCTCTATCCACAAGCCCCACTCCTTCTAATAGTTTTATGCCGCATGATTTATGGGCTAAATCAGGAACAGCCATTACTCTTGCTTTTGATTTCAAGTAGGTCAATAATGTTGCAGTAGTTTTTACCCTTCGCCAAAGAACATCTAACTCCTTCTTTGATTCCTCCTCTGAACCCTGTATGCAAGCCTTTACCTCCATAATTTTGGCTTGTAGCACATCTACTTGGCCTTGGCGTTTTTCCATCTCCTGCTTCCACATTTCATGAGTTTCACTTAGCTGAGACTGCAGTGTTGACAAGTCAAGATCACCCTCAGCTGCCATGCCCTTTCCTAAATTATGAAGAACTAGGTAAGAGAACATCAACCTTTAACAGTATAACAACTCATAATGAAAACACAAACAATAAAGATGCAAAACAGAACGCATCAATGTGCAAATCACACCATCATTATTAATGATGGTAGCAGGCAAAATAGCAATGTCCATATCCAGTTGAACCATTCCATTCAAACCATACTGGCTAAAGATGCTATATGAACGTCTTATAGCTATCACGACAATGTTTTCCAAAGCCAGCATGAAAATTAAACAACCAGGACTGCGTTTAAGCTAGCATTACTTTTTCCAAATAACTACCATGCCTCTTGTAACATCTAAAAGGTTTCGTACCCATATCTTCAAGTTAACTTTATTAAGTTTCTTTGAGCTCCCAAAAGCACGAATTTGCTCCAGGAAATGTTTGAGATTGAGAAAATAATGCCTCACACTATGCTGAATTTAGCAGAATTCCTTGACATTGTCTAGAAAACATTTTTTAAAAAATTTTTCCCTTTAAAGCGTAAAAAAAATTAGCAACATCTTTACCTTAATCAAAGCAGGACCAAAAAAAAAACAAATTCCACGATCTGAACCAAAAATCACTAGAAAATCAATGGCACAAAGATAAGCCAGAAAACTACCAAAAAGAACCCTAATTCGAATTACCCAGTCGCTGATCAAACACAAAAAACACGTTAAAACAAAAATCTAACCCTAACCCATCACCAGAAACGACAAGAAACAAACCTTATGAGCAGAAAGCCACAAAAAATTCAAGCTTGAAATGAATAAATCTTACATTTTCATCTAAAAAAGAAACAAAAACTTGTAAGGCAGGCAAGGAAAGACAAACCCAAAAAGCTTTTTTTCCTCCTTTTTGGGATTGGAATAGAGCATGAGGGAGAAGATGCAGGGAAGAAAGAACCTTGTGATTGGAGGAAATGGAAAGGAATAGGGTGTAGCCGACTGCACAAGATACTCCCAGGGCACTTGGCGCTGTTGTTCGCCTTCGTTCTACCACGCGGTTCTGTAAAAGAAAAGTTTTGTTTTTTTAACCAAGGAGACGTCTAGCAACTTCTCTTTTGTACCTTTCTTTTTCAACAAAAATATGTTTTTTAAATTTCATGCATAATAAACTAACCCGAAAAAAACAGAAAAAACCTTTATTTCAAAATAAATTAATAAATGTCCTTATCTAGTTTTCTTTCTCAAATATTTTTATTTTTTATTTCTTTTGACTTATTTTGACAACATTCTGACAAAACCCAAAATGCCCATTTTTTTTATAATGATTTTTTTATTTTTTTTAGTTTCTAAATAGGGTAATTATGGAATCTGATTAGAATGCCTCTTTTACCATCCTATAAAATCATTTATTATTTTATTTCATTTGCAAAATGAGAACCAAGCAAAAGAAGCTTAGTGAAGCTATAAGATTCCATTCAGAAACAAAGAAAAAGGCATTGGGAAAAGCTCTCTGGAGCCCCAGAGAGAGTTTGGAAGCGTTTGTTTTTCTTTTCTCATGCATCTTTCAACTATTTACAAGCTCAAAACTGTACAGGGGATGAGCGTCATTCTATGGGTAAGATTTAGCCACAGATGAAGTAGTGAGCAGGCCAGAGAGAAGGCCAACGATGAGGGCAGTGTTGTATGTGCTTGGTTCACCCTGTTTCACATTTTTTCGAGAATCCAAGTATGAATCATTCAGGGAGGGGCCGCCAACAAGTGCTCCAAAAGCTATGTTTGGATTGGGATCGTCTGAAGACAGCCACCTGAATCCGTCTTTGCAGCCGGTGTCAGCATCCGCTGGGATTGAAGCTCCCCGGTGGTGTACATATTGGGGGTAGCTACTCCCATAACCTACTAGATAGCTTATCTTCATTGGATTTGTTCCCAACACATAATCTGCCTGAAAAATAATGTTCCATAACTGGTCAGGAGAAGCACAGAAACGCAATGGTTAAATCCCAAGTTGCATACGTCCTTTCAGAAATGCCTGAAGGTTTATTTTGAAGCCCTTTAAAGGGCGGTGGCTTCTAATCCATCATCCAACTGCAGTAGAGAACCTTTTATGAAATGTTGCAATTCATCCAAACTGCAGCAGGCACTTTGTTCAACTTTGTTTTAATACTTTACCATCAACTTTAGTTGAATTCCTGTTTGATAGTCGAAAACAATACTAATAATAGAATTGAAATTTATTTTTGGTTTGTTTTCTGTTCCCTTCTATCTTCTACAATATCATTCTGTTGGTATAGAGAAGATACTCTTGATTCTAATGGTAACTACTGATTCAAAAGAGAATTTAACTGGCATAGGGGAATTAATGGCTTGCATTGCCACCAGTTTAGGTCTACCTGAGAAATAGCAAACTTGCGAAGATCTTCTGGCTTGTAGGAATTCCCACTGCAGTATAATGTTTCAGTCTGTGAAGTGAGCATGTAATCACTATAAATTATAGCTAGGAATGCAGAAGCCATAGGATGCTGCAGTGAGTTCCATTCTGTGATCCATATCAGGCCACCTGCAATGAAAGATTGTTTCCAACTGTAACGATAGACTGCTGTAAACGTATAACTATCAGAATTAAGACAATGTACAAATTAATAGTAGCTTTTATATTACCAAATTAGTGCATTTCTAAATCTCAGGTGAAGGGCCCGGGGGAGAGCCAATCACAGAACCCTATCAAATGGAAGAAGACCTAAAAACTGACATCATGATAGGTGACCGGCATTGTATGCCAGATCTATATCCTCAAGCATCCTAATTGACATACTACCATCTGTAAACCTACCAGAATTCTGGTAACAGGTCAAGAGGACTCTTGCTTATGGTTTAAGCCTATGCTTGGTCTTGGATCTTTTCCGGAGTATTAAACTAGTACTATTACTTACCATATTGAATATGGTACATTTCTAGTTTCTGTGAAGAAGAAGCTATTCAGGTTTGAGCGTCGGCATAAGAGACAGATTATAAATATCTTAGCAGTATCTTGAGAGAAGTTTAAAGCTATACTTGGTTGGAAGCTTAGAACTAGACAAGGAACGAAATAGGATTGAAGCACAATTTGAGTCTATAAAATGCTTTTCCAGGTGAAACAGGTGTGGTGAAAATTACAAGGCTCAATCATTTTTTCTTTGTCAAGAAGGCAAGTGATGAACTCCTAAATGGATTTGTCTATCTAGGAAACAAGTGATGAACTCCTAATGGATTTGTCTATCTAGGAAACAAGTGATGAACTCCTAAATGGATTTGGCTATCTAGAAAATATTGTAATTTGTAAAAAATATAAATTAAAGAGGGAAGAAACTGGACTCCAGCAATGCAGCTTGCAAAGAGCACCTGCCCCCTGGCTCGAAGGTTCGACTAAACAGGAGAACCATCAAAATCATATAGGAAAGTTACCATCTGTTCTTCTCGATGTGGCTGTTGGTGAATCTGGTAGAAGACCACACATGATGGCCTCTGCTGTTTTCCTGTACAACTGAAGACATAGGTTCTCAACAGTTGACATTTCTTTGACACCAAAGAAATTTATCCTGGACAGAAGGACCTGCAATCCACATTGTAAAAGTAAGGTAACTGTCTCACCTTAACCAATGTTTTTAAGGTTATCAGGATTTGTCCCTCATTTTTGTAGAACTCGGAATTCTAAGCCATTTAGTTGAACCAGTACTAATGAGATCTCTTTGCCTACTACTATATTAAGTACTTGACTAAACTAAACAGAGAAGAAAAAGGGAAAAACTATGCATCATGATTATACCTGAGTTCCAGCAAGCTTGTCATCCCAACTGAACCAAGTTGGACTCTCCCAATTAGCAAAATTTTTCCCATTTAGCTCAGTTACATATCTCAAGTATGATTCCTCCTGTGTAGCATGATAGAGCCACGAAGCAGCCCACAGCAGTTCATCCCCATATCCGGTGGAGTTGTAGAATTTCTGAACTTGAGGAACACTGATGCTGTAAGAACCTCTGAAAGTATCAGCAAAGGTGAACAGTTGCCGAGCATGGGTAAGGAGTGAATTCGAGTAATCAGGGTCTATTTTCTTAAAAACCAGGGATGCTGATGCCATTGCTGCAGCTGTTTCCGCCGCAACTTCAGTTCCAGGGAAAGATGTGTTAACCTGTATTAGAGGCCTTCTCTCTGACATGGTTTCAGGTCTTTCCCAACATTTGTGGTCTACTTCCGGATCTCCCACCTACAACAGCACAGATAGAAAGATATACAACAACTTAGATGCCAAATTGCCCAAAGGTTTTTCAATACGTGGCTGTTTCCCTATCCATAATAAATCCGTTTCAAAGAATCACAACTTCAAAGTGAAAGCCACGAGAAATACACTACCTGGATATAGAGCACACTCTCAGAAGGGTGCGCATTGATAAGGTAATCTGTGATCCACCTAAGCGAGTTCTGCGCATATGCCAGTTGCTTCACAGAATTCATCTGATCACCATACTCGAGAATCGCCCATGACAACACTGTGGCAGTGAATGCCATTGGAAACCCAAATTTCATTGTATCCCCGGCATCATACATTCCTTTTGATAAATCCAAATTCCCTTCGCTACCATCTTGCAGCCCTGAGTCCCCTCTCCAAGAAATCCTGTTACCCACTAACTTGCCAGCTGCAAAAGAAAATAATAAACGTAAGTGCCCAGAAGAAGGGAAAAGGAAAAGGGAAGTAGAGCAACTGCAAGTTCATCAAAAGTTATATACATTTTTGTATGTCAAAGAATTGAAGAGCTATTTCAAGAGCATCAGCGTATTTTTTGCTGATGGGGTGACTTGGAGGTCGGTTTTTCTTGAAGTAATGGAAGTCCCTTAAAATGGTTAGTACAGCTGTTGTTACTACAAGAGCTCCAATTATTAAAACTATCAACCACCAAAACAAGCCCCTGGGTTTCGAAGCCTCGGCCTCCTTCCCTCCCATCCAGTCTCTGATATCCCTTCTGCTTCAGGCTAAGCTGTATTCTTCCAAAAATAAGACATAGAAACGAATATCCACCACAGAAAAAAAGTAATCCGACGTTGCTATGTCAAGCCAAAGCTCCAACAACGTAACAAAAATGAGGTTTTCAGGACGATGATAGCCACGATTGAACAATGCAAGAATCTAATGTGGAATCAGATTGAAGACAAAGTTCAAGCATCTTCTGTTCTCCTTTTACTTATACTACCTGGAGAAAATGCCTGATAATTTTTATGCATAAGCCGGATACGCCGTTAGACCCCTGAGGTTTGGGGTCGAAATGGAGGGTCGGGATGCGGCTGGAGAATGATACTCTTGTGGAGAATCGGACAACGTCTCAGGTGGAGCCAGGAGGACAAGGCGGCCTGTCGTTTGCTTCGAAAAATAAGAGAGGAGGATCTCCTTAGTCTGTCGTTTTCTTAGACAAAAAAATGTCCATGGATAACTAGAAAATGAACCAATCTGATGATGACACTTGTTTTCTTTAATTTTACAAATGATAATAATAAAAAAAAAGGTAAAATAACCCCACACCTACCACTTTTAATCATAATTACATTTATGTTTATTAGTTTTCAAAATAAATATTTTATTTTAAAATAATATCCTCTTCTAAACATATAAATCTAACCGTTAATCAATCATTAATAATTTTGTTAATTTGATTACATAATATTATTAAAAATTACTAAATTATAAAACTTTTATAAAAACTTCTATTTTACCATTAGTTGTAAACCAACTCACGATCGGTCGACCACCCCATGACTAGATTTGGTCGAAAAGTGCTAGATCCAATTGGATCGAGATCCCCATATGAGCACTCATCATGGTGCTCATTGAGAAATTCAACTAAATTTGAGCCATATCTAGTCATAAGATGGCCTATTGAGATAGGCCTAAAAGAGAAAAAAAAACATTTTAGATATTTAAATTTAAATATTAATGTTATTTAGTTGTTTAGGATAAAATGTCCGAGGATTAAATGTTTAGCAATTACTAGTAATTAGTAATTGGTTGAATAATAAGACAATTTAAGGGTGAACACATGATTGATTTAATTTAAAAATTTTAAAAATTAAATAATAAAATCAATGAAAGTATATTTTAAAATAATCGAAATCGATTTATATTCTATTGGTTTTGATGATTTTACTATTTTTTTAGCATTTTATATTATATAAAATTTAAAAATATTTTTTAATATATCAAAAATATAATATATAACATATATTAATTATATTATTAATAATTATTTTGTTAATTGATTTGATTATCAAATTTGAATATCGAAAATCATCAAAATAATTGAATAAATTATATTAAGCAATTAAACAAATTGAACTGAATTAACCAAATTCAATCGATTTAATTCATTCACTCAATTAGAATCAATTATTGCTCATTTTTATAAAGCATACAAATATTTTGTGAGAATATGTGTGTTAATATTGAAACTCAAGGTGTAAATTTTGAAGATAATAAAGATATAGTTTTGGCTAGAGCACGATAGGTATGATACATATAATCAGCCCCTAATTTATTTAATTAATAATTAGTAAAGATCATGCAAAAAAAAACAATATAAAGAATGTGACAAAGTTAGGATGATGACGGCACCCATTAATTTTTTTGATATTTAATTTTTATTATTATTATACGTATAAAATTTGAGTTATATAGATTTATAATCTTATATAATTACTCTTTAGGCACCTCTCACCTAAAATCTTAAATCCACCATTAATATTAAAGATGAATTTATTAATAGTATAAGTTGTTATAATCAAGTTATAATTATTAAAAAAATAAAGTAATTTATAACCAAATTAATCTTTCTCCCTCTTGATTTAGCTTAATTGTGAAAAGCTACCATTAGTAAAAAAAAAAAAAAAAAAGGAAAGACAATTTGGCCCCTTCTTTAAATTATGAAGTTACTAAAATGTTTATAATTTTGATTATTATGGATCTTTGTAGAATAATATGAAAATTTTATTGAGATAACTAAAAAAATTCTTAAATTATTTTTAAAAACTTAAAATAACTCATTATTCTTTTAAGAACAATACTTGTAAAACACTTAAACTATTTAAAAATTTTTAAATAAGTATTTATTCTTTTATCTTATTCAATTAAGTTTTTATATTTTTATTTATTATCAAATAAAACTTTATAAATAATTATTGATTAATTATTAATAGTTAAAATACTACTTATTATTATACGTCACTGAGAAAAAATGTCACAATACAATAAAATACTATAATAAAAGATATTTTTATTTTTTTGCTATTTCAAAGAAAGGAGAAGCGAAAGGGAAAGTGGGCTCCAATCTGGTAGTGCCCCATTGGAAGGAAATCCAAGAAGGTGAGTGTTGTCCTTGAGTTGCAGCCCGACAAGAATGGTCCACCAGAAAAAGAAGAAGAAAGAATGAAAGAGGAGGAGAAGAAGAAGGGATGCCCAATGTGTAGGAAAAACAAAATGGAGAAGAGAGCCTGTTAAGGCCAACGGGCCGAACTGAAATCTTGGGCTTCTAGGTGGCACCAAGTCAGGTGACTCAGGAAGCAGTGATGCGGTAAGTTTCTTCATAATAAGGTATGCACTTCAGAAATACTACTGCTACTTATTGATTACAAGAGAGTTTCTAGCTATGGGTAGCAGTAAGGAGGAGTGGCATGCTGTTAAACCTTTTTTACCAGACTAATTGTCAATGCTTCTGACGCAAGTGGAGAAAAAATGAGTCAGAGCAGGCCATCCACCAAAGACCTCTGCTGGAAATAACTCAGTTTTGCCTCAGTGCTTGAGACTGTTTCGGAAAGCTTTTCGGTCACAGCCTTCATTTCCTGAATTTGGAGGGATTTCTTTTCTTGCTCTGGTTTTTGTATGTCGCAACTTTCCAGCTCTTTCTCCAATTCCACAATTTCTTGAAGATTTCTCCTCATGTCTTCATTGAGGGTGGAAGACTGCTTGACTAGTTGCAGTGCCTCCACAATTTCATCTAGTCTCTTATGGAGCCAACTAATTTGCACCTTTAAGGATTCCAAATCAGAAACACTTGTAAGCATGGACTGAAGCTCAAGTTCAGTCACATCTTCCAATTTCACTGCTTGTAGTTTTTGGATAATGCCACAGGCAATCTCCAGGAGAGATGAACGGCATTGCATTGAATTCAATGAGCTGTTGGCAACGATGTCTCCATGTTTTAAAAGAACTGCTCTAAGGATAGGTGCTAGTTCTGCCTCTACTGTATACTCACCAGCTGTCGTTGGATTGGAACCAACTGCTAGAAATGTAATTGCGTTATGATTTGGAGAGTCACCATTTGTGATATCAGTTTTAGTGGCATCCTTGCTTTTACATCCTTGCTCCTGCTTGGGATTGCTACTGCCTTCTCCCTCCGGCTTTGTTCTTTCCGAAGTTGCCTCCGATGCCTGATGGAGGCAAATCAAGGGATGATTGTTACAAGCGTAGAATAGAGCTACAAACAAAAATAGCAAGTCTCTCATGCTAAGGGTCTGATCATGCACATGCCATTGAAATTTAGTAGCAACCTATGCAGGTTAACATTTACTATCGCACGACTATAAATTGGTTATTACCATTCTTTTCTGCTATCTTTCAGGCTAAGAATATTTCTATATAGCTTGGCTTCCCATGAAACTTCCATATTCTAATCCTGAAAGGCCAATTTTAATAAGCAAAATTCTAGTAGGCAATAGGAGGCTTAAACCTGACATCTAACATATGCATTGTCCAAAGCAAAGTCATTTTAAAATGCAGATCAGCCAAGGAAAGCCACAAAATCCAAAATAAAATAAGGGTGGTGGTCTCATTAGGCTTTTCTCTGATGTTGCTTTATTGACACAAATCCATGGTCTACCTACTTTCATGCGTAAGCTCATCATGGTGCTTGATGACATCAACATGAATTGGTTGAAGATTGAGTTACCTTGCTCTCTAGAAACTGAATTAGGCCATTCAGACAAGTTTTGGGATCTTTGGACTTCATCAGTTCACCAGCAACTTCAGCTGGGGAAACTTTAATCCCTTCCATTATCTTTTCAATATGACAAAAGAGATCATGATTAGAAATGCCAAGGTAGTTGGCTACGAGTTGCTTGAAGGTGGAGACTGTGCAATAGGACAAGCATATGTGCTTGTCCATACGACCTGCTCGCAACAAAGCTGGATCAATTCTGTCCTTGTAGTTGGTGGTGAAAACAATAATCCTCTCATCTCCGCAGCATGACAATAGGCCGTCAATGGCATTCAAAAGTCCCGAAAGCGTCACCTGATGGAAATGGCAACAGCACATAAAGTTTAAGAGCCTTCACAAACAAAGGGAAGAACCAAGTCAAGATGATCATGAATGTACAAATTTTGGGAAAGCAGGTTAATTAGTTCAAAAAGTTCCTAAATCTTTAAGAATAACTAGAAAACAAATAGATGAACACTCAAGCGGAATACAGAAACATCTCGAAATACTAAAGAAACTCATCTTCAAGATCAGAATAGTTTTAAGTTTATACGCGTTTTATATTGAGTGAAGGAAATCCGAATGACCTGTACATGTGGGTAACTCCCTGTTTCATCTCCTGCTTGCCGGTTCTGTAGTTTGACTGTGCAGTCAATATCTTCAATGACAAGGATGGAACGATTTGACACATGAAGCAACAAATACTCGAGGGAGGAATCCGAGTTCACTGCAGATAAATTCAGGTTGTAAATATCAAAGTTCAGATGATTTGCCATGGCTGCTATCAAACTTGATTTTCCAGTTCCTGGAGGACCATAAAGCAAGTAACCACGCTTCCATACTTTTCCAATTTTCTTGTAGTACTCCTTGCCATTGATAAAGCTGTCAAGGTCTTCGATGATATCTTTCTTGAGATCTCCATCCATGGCCAGAGTATTGAATGTCATGGGATGCTCTAGATTGACAGCACTCGAGCACCACCTCTCACGCCTGATGCTATGAAACTTCACCATCCGGTTCTGGTTCTTCAGCTTTCTCGCCATGGCAACCACATGAGGGAGATACTTGCTCTTCACCATCTCAGCGTGCTTCTTCTGAAAACTGAGCTCATACCACCTCGATTCAGATGTCAGTTGATTATTATTCGTGTTAGCATCGGAATTGTACTTCCATTTCATGGGAACACCATGGAAGAAATCCACAATCTCGGAGTGTCTATCAAGGCCAAAAGCGAACATCCTCACATTCTCATTCTTCCCTACAGTGAGCCGTTTGGGAGAATCAGCAGCAGATGAAGCAGACAGCACATGGCTACCAAGGTATGCCACGGCGGCCTTGAAAAGATGGTTGCTTGACCCATCGTGTGATTCTTCGATAACCAAGGTGAACTCCGATGAGAAACGGCGAATGAAACTCCACAAGTACTCTCTTATTTCCTTCGGGATGAAGTCATTGAATGTGCTGCGGATAATGGTGAAAGTAGCCAACATTGACAGCGTCGATGCCATAGCAAGTCTTAGGCTGTCGATTTCCTTTCACTAGCAGCAATTCTGGGCCAATTTTTTACACAACGAGAAAAGGAAAGGGAAAAGAAGCTTTCACCGCCTTCCGGTTTGTGACACAGAAATTTCCTTGCCAAAACACATGAAGTTGAAAGAAAGGTACAGCAGCGTTCAGGCTTATGTTTTTCATGTCAAAAAGTCTTGTTTGGTCACAAATAGAGATTAAAATAATATCTGCGTGTGACCCCATCGACGCAGGAGCCACGGTAAGCCAAAATGGAATCAAGCTGATAATAAAGTAAGACCGGTACAGTCAATGGATCGGAAGGCATCGAAAGCTCCTTGCTTTGACAAAAAATGGACGAAAACGACGGCCTCTTTTTACTTTTCCAGCTGTTCTTTTTCCCCGTAATTTCCTTTTGTTACCCTGTAGCTGTCACAAAAATACTTTCTTCTTCACTTTATCCTGGGTAGAAGCTAGACTAATTTGTTCATAAAGGTTCTTTTATCTTGCTTTTTACGTCTGCCGGCGCCTTTGATCTATGCAGAAAATATGATCTACAAGGTTTTATGAATGAACAGTGGGATTAGTTGGCAAGGGGGAGGAAGCTTAGAAGAATAAACAAGAGGATGGTTCAAATATAATGTTGAAAAACTTACCCAGAAGAGAAAATGAATGGAAGTTGCTTGCTTAATACTCAAGACCCCTATCAAATTTTAGATTTTGAATCGTTTTGGACTTGATTTTTGAGTTGACAAGAGTCTGGGTGAAGCTAAACATGAATTTTAACTTCTGTTTGTTTTAAATACCCCTATGACATTGCCATGATCATGCCTAATAAAACAGTAAACCAGAGATGCAGACATACAGGAAAAGACCAGAAAAGAGGCTGCCTGATCCTTGGCGAGGCATCTACTTCATATCTGCAGTTGCAGTTGGTGGCTTTTGGTTTTGGCAGCATATATACCAAAAGGAGAAATTTCAGAGACAGCAAAGAATTCCAAAACAGATGCTAAACCTATTCAAAGATACTAAAGTGCTACAAAGTATTGAATGGGAGAAATCAAAAGTAATGACAGATCACTCATCAATTATAAAATGCTCTTCCATGGCCTGCAACAATGTTAAAAAGTATAAAGTAAAAGGGAGAAAGAAGAAAGAAAGACAGAAGGAAAAGAGGCATGCTTCATGTAACAAGGAAGTGGATTAGTGAATCAGCAAAGTGTCATTACAAGAACCCTTTTCAACTATTATATTTGAATTACCATTAAACATCTTCAATATGTTAATACGAGTATTTTGTCAATACAACTCATTTAATATTTTGAGCCAAAAGATCTCCAAGTTGGCCTCAGCATCTGTGAGAGATTTAGTCAGTTTCTTATATGTTGGACTTAATCTTGGACAGTCTATTCGGAGTCAAGAGTGGATTTACTTAGTAGTGCTATTATCGCTTCTTTGTTGCTCAACAGCTCCTTCTCCATGTCTTTAATGACTTCTAGAATATTGTTTCCTGAAGATTGGCCCTGGAGCAAATCCTTCTTGTCATAGTTGTTGCTATCCTCTTCTGGAGGTCCATTCTCAGTTAAATTTGACTCTTTGTGGCCTTCTGTTCATCGGCTGAAACATCTGGGTTGGGACGTGGAGATTTTGCATTGTCCATACTAGTTTCATTGGATGCCAAAGTAAGAGAAATTGAAGATTCCTGGACCAGGCAATTTGATGGATGAGATGACGGATGCCCAGGACAAACTTCAGAATTGCCATCTGCAAGCAACTGCAGAAAACTCCCAATCAATCACATTGAACATGAGGATGATAACATGTAACGTTAATTAAGAGCATCGCCATAGAAGCCATGTTATTTGGCACTCATCAAGCAGTAAATCAAGACAAAGTCACCATGAAAAACAGTCCCGAAGGGACTAAGTCGAAGTATAACTACTAATATTCCTATGGAAAGTAATGCTCCTGTTTACCTTATTCTCAAGATGCTTGATCAGGCCTTCGAGAGAAGCCTTAGGATCCCCAGTTTTCATCAATTCACCAGCTACCTCTGCAGGGGAAACCTTAACCTCTGGTAGAAGCTTTTCAATGTGATGAAAGAGACTGTGATCAGAAATCTCTAAGTACTTCAAACCCAGTCGCTTGAAGGCAGAGAAAGTACAGTAGGTCAGGTAGATGTGCATGTCCATGCAACCAGATCGAAGTAATGCAGGGTCAATCCGCTCCTTGTAATTTGTAGTAGCAACCAGAATCTTTCCCTCCCCACAGCAGGAGAAAATACCATCAAAGAAGTTTAGGATTCCAGAAAGTGTCACCTGTGAAGATGGCATGAAGCATGGACATAGTTAAATTTAAAATATAGAATTACAATTTCAATCGCTTGTGAACTGCATATTTTACTTCAGAAGTTCAAAAGAAAAGAAAAGAAAAGAATCTTTTTTTATATGGAAATCTGGACATTTCAGAAGAAGTTATTCAATCGCCATAAACGTAAATATCATGTTATGATTGCGGAATCTGCATTATATCACAATAATCATGACTAACGTTGTTATGCTGCAGATATTTTATAGGTTGCTCTATTTTGCATTCTCGATTCTGCAGCTTAACGGAGCAGTCTATATCTTCTATCACAAGGAGGAAACGATTGGCCATGACTAAGCAACAAATTCTGTAAAACCAAGTCTGAGGATACAGCTTACAGATTCAAATTATAGATATCAAAGTTTAGATGATTAGCCATAGCAGCAATCAAGCTAGACTTTCCAGTGCCTGGAGGCCCGTAAAGCAAGTTCCCTCTTTTCCACACTTCGCCAATCTGTTGGTAGTATTCCTTACTGTCCATGAACCTGTCAAGATCCTCCACAATTATCTTCTTGAGATCACCATTCATAGCTAAGGTCTCAAACGTCATGGGATGCTGAATTATTACAGGTTTTGCAGTCCAAAAATCACGGGCAGCCGTGTGGAGCTTCACCACCCGGTTTCTCTCTTTGATCTTGTTGGCTCTTTTGAGGATGTGTGGCAAATAAGACCTGGTAACCATGTCCTTGTGCTCTTTGTGAAATGACAGCTCGTACCATCTGATATCGTGCTTGGACATTCCTTGGCTATAATCAGAGAAGTACTTCCTCTTCATTGGTACATTTTCAAAGACGTCAACCAATTCAGAGTTCTTCTCCATGGCAAAGCTAAGATTCCTGCTGTTCTCAGTCTTTTGTACCATCACCCGAGGGATTGAAATGGTGGGAAGTGATTCTCCAAGGTAAAGATTTGCAGCCTGAAAAAGTTGGTTCATGTTTGAGCTTTGATAATCACGGAACACCGTGGTCACATCTGTAGTGAAACGGCTAGTCCACTCCTCAAAGCGTGAAGAGATGTATAAGCGCAGTTTTTCTGGCAGGTAGTTGTAGAGAGTGCTGCGAATCAGGGCAAGGGAAGCTAAAAACGCCCACAACGAGTTCATCTTGGCTTTTCAATCTTTCTTCAGCTTTTATGCTTTCTGCATCCATGCTTCGATGGTTCACACCACAAATCCACAATCTCACTGTTGTAGAATGAGGAGTTCCACCCTTCCAGTCCAGGCTTCATAAAGTTATAAACTAGCATGTTTTTGCTCTACAAGAAAGAAAAAAGAACAGAAGACGACAAATGCTGTGCCATGAAATCATAAAGGTGTCTGACTACACTATAGACTAAACCAAAGATTAATAAGGATAAGGATGTTTCCGTGTTCCGAACTAAAAAGGGTTAAAGAATGTACTTTCTCACTAGACAATGACTAGCACGTGGAGACTGCAGTTTGGACAAAAACATGCTGGGCCATTTCTTTATTGGACGGTTAGATGAATTGTAGAATTACGTTGCTACCTAGTTTTTAATTGGACTGCCTCTGAGTCATACCAGCACCCAAGCCTTGGCCTCATCCAGAAGTGAAGTCCTGCTGCATCGGCATGGAGTAGCCAATTTTATTTTTGCTTCCTCACCGCCCCATGATTCTGGCCCGGAAATCTTTCTTTAAGACGCCATTGCATGGCGAATTTTGAGCTGAAATTTGATTTATCATGGTGCTTTAGTTCAAAAAAAATTATGAAAAATAATTTTTTTTGATAAAAATATTTTAAAAATAATATTAAAATAAATTTAATTATTTTTAATCATATCTAATTATAATTAAATAAAAATATTTTTAAAACTATTTTAAATAAATTAAACTATTCATCATAATTTTTCTCTAGTTATACTTCTGATTTCTCTTTCACCATTTCACTTTCTCTAATTTTATTAATTTATCTTTTCAAAATTTATTTGTTATACTCTCGATTTCTCTCTCCTATGCTTTCAGATTTCTCTTTTTCTGTGCTTTCAATACACTAATGTGTTTGAATAAGTGACTATTTGAAAATTTTAATTTTTGAGTATTTTGGATAAAATTAAAACTATAGAAATGATTATAGATGTTTGAAATAACTTTTAATTGAATCAATTCAGGACTTAGACACTAATACACTCAATAATTTAAAATTTATAAATAGATTTTCAAAGAAGTTTTTTTTAAAATTTTTAATCAAAATAGGTGTTTTAGATAAAAATAATTTATGTTTTTATTAACAAAAATATGTTAGAAACACTTTAATCGGTACTAAATTATCAAAAAAAAAATTAAAAAAGTTGAGAGGATTTGAAGTTTTAGTTCGTAAATAATAACAACATTTTAGATATTAAAGTATGATAAAATGTTTTTAAACATAATGTGTAACAACAATATTTTTTCAATATGGCATGTAACATTAATAATTTTTTTTCAATATAACGTGTAACAATCTATTTTAACTATGACGTGTAATATGTTTTTGTATATAGTATGTAATAATAACATTTTTTTTCAACATGGTGGGTAACAATTTAATCATGGCATATAACATGTTTTTGTGCGTGTAATAACCTAATAATAACGTGTAACATATTTTCGTATATGACGTGTAACAACTTAACCATAGTATGTAACATATTTTTGTATATAGCGTATAACAATAATTTTTTTTAATATAACATGTAACAATCTAACCATGACATGTAATATATTTTTGTATATGACGTGTAATTTCGTTAAGGGTAATTTTATATAACTTAATTAAAAATAATTAAAATTATAAAAAATATTTTTAAAACATCTTACTTTTAAAAATGCTCCTTAGTCATATGCCTGATGTTACTTTCTAACAAGTATCCATGGTACCCGTTAATATCGTTATTTAAAGAAATGTTTTCATTTTAAGAGAAATACAAACAAACCATTGGATTTTAAATGTCAAGATTATTTGGAAGCTAGTTTCTTGGGCCCAAACAAGATCTGGCGGAGTCCTGAAACCAAAATCAGAGCCTATACCACCCTCAAACTTGGGCTTAATGCCTTAATCCCTAGAAAGGGTATTCGCCTGATGGCCCTGATCTCTCTCGCTTGTTTAGGCCCTGTCCGAGAAAGAATTTTCACTTTCTCCTATATTGGTTGAATTCGTTCGATCCCAACTCTGAAGACTTCGATATAATTTGCAGCAGTTTTTAGTTTTCAGCTGGGTACCTCTCTTTTTCATCAGCTCCCAAAGCAGGAAGCTCATTAGTCATAGGTCTGGAGTATTATCCTTTGAGTTAAGGAGAGAGGGGGAAGAATGGGTGAAGGAAGAGGAGACTGGGAGTGCAGCGGATGCAGGAACAGGAACTACGCTTTTAGATGTTTCTGTAACAGATGTAAGCAGCCTCGTCTTCTTGTTGACACCAAAACTCCAGCTGACTCCAAGTGGCTTCCGCGTATTGGTGATTGGATCTGCACTGGTAAGTTTGTACTTCTCTCAGAAACCTCGTCTCTTCCAATGGTTTTTTATTGTGTTAACTCCTCTTCTAGGCTGTGTTGACTACTTGACTTATCTGGGTTTTACGCTTTATTCTTTTTCTTCTTCTGTTATAATTCAATTATTGAACTTAGGAATAGATATGTAAGATGGGGTTTTTTTTTGGAAACATTTTCGTTGTGGGGTTTATCTGGGTTCTGAGTTTTGATAATAAGTTGGAATTTTGGCTGATATAGAACAAGTGGCATGTCAAAATAAGATATTGCTTTTCCCAAGTAAAGATTTGTAATGTTGCATCTTTAAACAATGGTTGGGGAGCTTTTTGAACTTGTTCCTGCTTTGGTTTTGCTAATTTGCCATAAAGCGACTGTTTTTATATCAATTGTAGACAAATTCGCCATTGCAAAAGCATGTCCTTTATTGTTGTCTGTTCATGAATGCAACCTGTTGACTGAACATGTTGATTTGTTTTTTTTGAAGTTGAGATTAGGAAATCAGTATCAATTAGGTTGAGTGGTTTGTGTTTTTTGTATGTGTTCTTTGGTATGCAATGAACTGGTTGGTGTGCGTACGATTGGCTTCCTTGTCCTCTTCGTGGCTGCATTGTGGGTTGGGGTGTGTGTGGCAATGGATCAATAGCTTGCACTAACAACAATTATGCATCAAGAGAAAAGTGCAAAAAGTGCGGGCAACCAAAGGAGATAGCAGCAATCCCAGCAATTGCAATGCCTGGAGCTTCTCTCCCAACTTATTCACATTATTTTGCCAGGGCCCCAGGAGCACTGGAACAAAAGATTAATGTTGGATTTGTAGGCAGCGTCGCCCCCCTGCAGTCGCTTCCTCTAAGTTCCAACTGGTCTGTAGGTGGGGTTGATAATTATGGACTTCATTCAACTTCTACATGGCCTGTAGCTGGAAACCAAGCTTCCGGGGTTCCATATGTGAATTCTAGTAATCAGCCTCTTTCCATTCCTAAGGGATGGCGAAATGGTGACTGGATTTGCAACTGTGCCTTTCATAATTACTCTTCACGTTCACAGGTCTTATCTTGCTGCCCAAACTGCATTCAACATTCTCCTACATAGTTGTCACTAATTGTACAAAATATGCCATGTCATTACGTTTCTGATCTAGTCTAGCATTTTTACAGTGCAAAAATTGCAATGCATCTATACCACCAGGTACATTCTGATTCTGGAGGTTGAAGCAATATTGTCTTTGTTTTGCTTTAATGCTTATAGTTGGTCTGCTGGCTGGTTCTGGTTACCAGTAACTGAGTCTTTACATCTTTTTAATTTTCCTTTTTTGGGGTATATTAGCACTTGGAACCAAGCGGTTAGCATCTGAAGAGTTTGTACACGACTGGGATAACAAAAGGCAGAATTCAGGGCATGTAAGAAATCAGTTTGTGGTGGGGCATTTTGGATTAATGTTGTTTTTCCATCATGCTTTGACTAACCACTCCTGACTATTATATTCCCCCTTCCTGGGGTTACAGGGTAATGGTCAGCTGCAGCCATATCCTGGATTTGACCAAATGGTAGGAGCCACCAGTGACCCTAAACCTGGAGCATATCCTCCCTATCCCAGTCTAAACCCTGGTGTGGCTTCAAATTGGCAGGCACCCATTTCATTTCCTCATCAAGCTACAACACCAACCCTTCTTGGAAAAGGGTAAATGAGTTGCCCCCTTCTATACATGCTTGTAATTTATATCGGACAAATTAGTGATTCCTTTTATGAGCATAATATATAATACTTTGATCAGTTGTCAACCTATGGCAATGACATCTTCCTTTTTTCTTTTTCAATCCTTTAATCTTTTTGGATCTTGTAACTGAGTTTTAATTCATGAAACTGTCCCTGAGATTAATTTTGGTTGCCTTTAGAGTGCTATTTTTAGTTGTCTTACCTCTTATAAATTGTCTGCTTGAAAGAAGTATGATAAAGAGATGGCCACTTAGTTGATAATAGTTGATACGGTATTTTGGACTGTGTTTAAAACTCAAACAGGTTTATGTGTAGTATTTTGCATTAAAATCCTGAGTCATATATATCAAATATGATATTTTCATACGAGATTATGCGGATTGCTTTGCAGATCTACTAATAGTTTAATGTCCTCCATTTATCAGAGCAAAGCAATGGCGTAATGGAGATTGGATATGCACAAAATGCAGCAATCACAATTATGCATCTCGAGCTCAATGCAATAGGTCAGTAGCTAAATTAGTGGCTTTTACATGCTAAATTGCGTTAGGATTGTGATACATAGAAATATAATATGATTGATGTGGCTTATACCCATCAATATTTGGATTTCTGAATCGATTTGTTGTTTTTACAAATGAAAACTGCTCACTCTATATCTGATTGCATACACAAGATGTGTACTTGTTTCTCTCTCTTTCTTTTGGTGGGTTCTTATACAGTAGTTACTTAATCCCTGATTCAGTGCATATACATGACAATTATGGCAGTAATTGTCATAACATCCTCTTTTGGTGCATCTCTACAAGGCTAGGGGGGAGTCAGTAAATGAACCCTGATCCTTGACCCTCCATGGGAGGGTAACAGCCAATAGGTTGACACTGCAAACTTCCCTTTAAGGAAGATCTGTCAGTTTATTTTGAAGAAAACTCACAGCTTTAGTGGTTACTTTCCTTCCACAGGTGTAAGACTCAGAGAGATCCAGTGACTCAGCCGGTAAATGCTGCATAGTTGCCATCGGATGCAGGTTTTGATTCATATAGTTTTTTTTGTCAGCTTCTTTTTTTATTTTTGTGTACCATTCTGGCCCAAAAACCAAAAGCTTGCTATAGGTTTTGTTTCATTATTTACGATACTGGCTATGAGCTCCCAATGTACAACGGTGGAGAGCTTTATACGACTTTTGTTTAATACTAAATTGTATAATTTGACTGCCATTGCTTGTGTAAAAGGTTGAAAACCTTGTGTTGTTGACAGTTCTTTCAGGTTGTGACCCATTCATTTAACTGCTAAGGTAGCTTTGTATTTGTTTCTTTGAGTATCTGATAGCAGTTTTATATGTTTGAAAACCTTCCAATTTACTCTTTTTCTGCAAAACAGAGACTATTTTAAGATTTATGCTTATGTGATCAATGGATGTTCTGTTAGGGGACTGGGAGGTCAGGGTGTGGGATGAGGGTCAAGGTCTCAAGTCTTGTATTAGATTAAGGGATTTATCATAAATGAAATAGGAAGTAGATCTCAGAGATACTGTAGAGGCAATGAGTAGATTTTCTAATTATCATTCACCAGACTAGCTGCTACAAAATCTCTGCAGACCGTAGAACTAAGACATTGCATTGTGGGTATGGATTAAGAGACCTTGAACATGGAGGTAGGAGACAGAGGAGGGGAGTCGAGTTCGTAAAGATTGAGTGCAGGCCCGACGAACCGGAAAAGTATCCAAGCTCCTATTACAATGAAAATGGAAGCATAGGCAAACTTGTTGAGCCAGAAGAGCAGACCCTTCTCTCCCACATACAACTCCATAGCCTTCTCCATTATGCTCATTTCTTCAAATTTCTTTGGAGCTGGATCAGCTGCTGCAGCATTTGCCTTTGCCTTCGCCTTCACACGTTGCCCTTCCCCAAAACCATCTTCCTGCAGCTGCCTGCGCCTCCTTGACCCTCTCTTAAACCGTATCTCAACGGTGTCTGGTGGTGTTACTGGTGGTGGCAGAGGTGCCTCGCTGCTACTCGTGCTGCTGCTGCTGTTGTCACTGCTGTTATTGGTGCTGCTGTTTGTGCAAAGAACTCGAACCACCCGTCGACGGTGAGGTAAACAGACCTGAAGGGTATGTGTTGTTGCTGACGATGAAGGTTTTGCGAGAACAGGGTTGGCTGATGGGGGTGATTTTGAAGCCAGGGACTGGAGAATCCTGCTCTCCATTGCTTGCTTTCGTTTTCTCTCTTCCTAGTAGAACTATGGATATGATGCTTATCCTTTTATCTTCTGCCATCAAGGTTACGTGGAGCTCTTAAGCCCTAAAATTGCGTGCCATGTCATCAAGGTTACGTGGAGTTTTTCCTCTTTTCTTGTATTGAAAATTATTACTACTATGAGAATTTGAAGAAAATAGAAAGAAAAACTAAAAAAAAATTGAAAATATCTCAGTTTCCATTGAATTTATTTTGGACCTATTTTTATATCACACGATGTTGGTGAATAATATTTTTAACTGTAATATTCTTTTTGTCTGCGAATATTTATTTTTTTAATATTTACTAACATTATGATAAATATTAAATTTTGATGTATTTTATATTAAAATTATAAATTTGTTATAATATAGATTTTAATTTTTATATGAAAATATGAAAAATTTATTTGTAATATAAAAAATACAAAATTTATTTTAAGACATTTCAAAAAGAGAGAGAATATATTTTTTATATTAAAAGAGTATTTATATAACCCTTATTATTGTTCTGAATTAAATAAATTAAAGAAAAATTTTTTTTATTGGTTGATTTTTAACCTTATTTTTGGTAAAACTACTTGAGAAAATATTTACGTATTTATATAAAGTGAATTAGGCTGGGCCAAGAAAGTAAGAGCCAACTGGTCCGGTTTGCTAGGCATTTCGGGCAGACCCGAACACTAACCGTCCAGGATTGTGAAGCCCGCGGTAAAAAGCTATTGGGTCGAACTAATCCGTCCACGGCACGATCCAGTAAAGGGAGAAATTACTAAACACACCCTAAAGAATCTTCAAAATGACATCTACATCCAAGTTTGTAGTAGAGCCGAAGGAAGATCAAACAACACAAATTTTGGGTTTTCATTTTCATTTTCTTTTTCTTTTTCCCTTTTCTCCTTATTTATAGTCGTTTTTTGTCTTCACAACGTTCAACCACCAATCACCGGATTCTCCCCGAGCCAAGACTCAGAAGACAACCGCAATGAACGATCTCGAGCGAGTCAAAACGGAGGACCCGTTTCTCGTGCAGTACCAGCCATCGGAACTCAGAATCGCGTCCGAGTTCTTAACCACGTGGCTCCCTTTCCTTTCAAGAGATCTCTGCCATCGATGCACCCAAACCCTCGCCCAACGAATCCGCTCCCTCCACCCAGGTATTCTCCTTTGTTTTAAAAGCATTGTTCACGTCAAAGGCAGTTCCTCTCCTTGCTTAAGCTTTAAGTTTAAAGTAAGGATTTTTCCTTTCTAAATTTCCTGATATCAATTAGCTTTTCTTTTCTTTTTTGTTATGCATTATATTTATTCTGGGCTGGAAAAAGTGGGTTTTGGTTAGATTCTGTTTTGGCCTGGAAAAGATGTTATCTTGGTAATCGTCCTTTATAAATGATGATTGGAATTAAAGTAACTAATTAGAAATAAGATTTCTTTGTTAAAATTTCTTTTACTCTTCCATGGATATTGCAATGGGGGTGTATCTTTTAATAAAAAAGAAAAGAATTTACTGTTTATGTTTGCTTATAAGAACATTTTGTGTTGTGTGTCATGTTGGGATCCTAGAACCTAAAGGAGATGCTGAGTTGGCCAATTCTGATCTGAATGCAATCCCTTCTACTCCCAGTAATGCAGAACCACAAGAATTGAATGAGAGTTGTCTTGATAATTGTGATGCAAATTCGATAGGAAGTTCAAAAGATGGAGAAGATACTAACTCATTGGGTAGTTGGAAAGATGAGGCAAATGGGTCGTCTGAACCCATTGGAGAAGCATCCACTAGTGGTGGAATTGCCAGCAGGTCGCCTTCCCATCAAACCCCGGTTCCCCGTTTATCATGGGCAGACATGGCACAGGAAGATGAGCTTGAGGAAGCAGAAGAAGAAGAAGAAGAAGAAGAAGAAGAAGAGCAACATCAATCAGAGTCAAGCAAGCGAATTGTTAATTTAACTGCTTCCACAGGGGAGTTGAGGATATCTAAGGTTGTTGAGAAGCCTAAATTGTCTAGGGATCAGAGAGAGTATATTAGGTTTATGAATGTGAAGAGGAAGAAAGATTTTATATGTTTGGAGAGAGTTAAAGGGAAGTTTGTTAATATTCTTGAGGGGCTTGAACTTCACACGGGAATTTTCAGTGCTGCGGAACAGAAGAGGATAGTTGACCTTGTTTATACGCTTCAGGAGATGGGGGAAAAAGGAAAGTTGAGAGGTTAGTATTTACAGATTGCTTATCTTGTTTGTACAGTTGAATTTTTGAGTGCTTATCCGATATATTCTTTTATTTTTGCATCTGTTTTTTGTGTTCTTGAGTAGTTTCTTTGATTAGGGTTCTTTTTTTTCTATGTTTAATGAGCTTGTTATATGTACATTAAATCTTTTTTATTTCTATAAATGTTAGCTTAACTCAATAAAAAGTGATGGAAAGTAGCATTTGTCATGTTGTATGTTAGCACGAATAAATCACTATAACAATAACAGTTTTCAATAAGCACATGCATACAGGGTATTTAACATTCTTTGGTTTAATGTACAGTCAAAGTGGTAGAATTAATTGAGCAGAGCCTCCAAGTCATTTTGGTATGTGCTTTGGTGCTCTTACCTATTATGCAATGTTGGACATTAAGTTTTCAGTTAAAAATTTAGATCACAAAAATAGGCGTCACTTAATTTCAGTTCTCTCTACGAATCGTTGCTATTGGGCTTCTGAATTTTCTCTTGTATGTCAAGCCAAGAAGCAGCTGAGTGGCTGACTCAACCATGTTCCTGTTAATGGATCTTTGTGTTATACTTCCATTTTTCTACCATGGGTTTTTTTTGCTTCTTTTGTTTTCTGCCTTTAATGGCTTTCATTACATTGGTGAGACTTTGATATGTAAGTCTGCCTTCAAACTTTTTTCAGATCTTAGTGGAAGCACTTGGTGATTACAGAGGCAAGTTTTAAATTCATAGATCATGAAAATTATAAATAACTTATAGAGGAGTCTTCTAATGTGAGAGTCTTAATGGATTTTGTATCCCCTAATCCAACTTATACATGCAGCAAAAAGTGTCAATAGGATTCTCTTATTTTCTAATTGAACATTGCAGTTACCTGGTCACCATGAGCTTTAGCAAGTCAATGGAGCATTAGAGTAATATGGTTTATGTCTTTGGAAAAAAGTGTTGTAGCTTTCCGTTATTGCTGTGTGCGGCATGCAGATATGTCCTTGTGCTGTTGCAGATAACAGTTTCTCAACATATTATGTTTACATTATAAATCATATTTATTTTCACAGAGCGCACATTTTCAGCACCACAGAAGTGGATGAGGGGCAAAGGACGCATAACCATCCAATTTGGCTGCTGTTACAATTATGCAATGGTAGGTTTGTCTCTATCCTTGTTTTATTGTGAAAATTGCTTGAGTATGTGTATGGATTCATTGTAGTCACAAGAAGCTGTAATTTGAGGTTTGAAAAGCTTTATTATGTTTACCTTCTGGTGGCAGGACAAAAATGGAAACCCCCCTGGCATTCTTCAAAATGAAGTTGTAGATCCTATACCCCAGCTCTTCAAGGTGGCCATCAGAAGGCTGGTCAGATGGCATGTACTGCCTCCAACCTGTGTGCCTGACAGTTGTATTGTTAATATTTATGAAGAAGGAGACTGCATACCTCCTCACATTGACAACACTGATTTCGTTAGACCATTCTGTACTGTGTCATTTCTGAGTGAGTGTAATATAGTTTTTGGGTCAAACTTGAAGGTTGTGGGGGCTGGTGAGTTTTCCGGTTCAATTGCAATTCCCCTACCTGTGGGGTAAGATTCTTTTCATGCTCTAACTGGTCCTATCCTTTTCTAACTATTAAGTCATGGAATCATTATTAGTTTACAATATGGAATTAAAAATTAAAATCAGTTGTTTCTCCTTTCAGATCAGTTCTGGTTCTAAATGGAAATGGTGCAGACATTGCTAAGCATTGTGTGCCTGCAGTTCCTACAAAGAGGTACAAGTTGATATCTATGATTTTTTATTGCTGAGTTGTGAGGCTTGTGCCATAGTTTCTGTTCATTTAACTTTCTGC